TCTTTTATTTCTCCTTTCGTATCCACATTTTTTACTTTAACTGCGTTTGCCTCCTGCTTTCGTTAAATTTGTGCTTCGTCTAGCAATTGAATTTCTGGAGTGTCTTTGAGAATGTGAGTGTTTCTACTATCTTTGTTGCTGCCCAGTTTTCTGGGCTGTCGAAGGTGCTGATTGATAGACTGTTGCTGCTAGATATACAGAAAGCTGACATACCGACACAACCGGCTCATTTGTAAGATGGCAGCAGCAGAAATTTCCAGTTTCTTACTCTAATCCACGCACTAATTTACACACTTATTCATAATTTTCAACAGGACATCATTCACTGGCTTAAAATTTACAAGATTTTGAGGCCACTAAGCCAAATAGACAGAAAACAGCAGGCAATTTTCCAATCAGAGAAAAGACAATCAGACAAGGAATATAGTCAAAAGAAAAGACAACTAAAAGATCCCAAGAAACAGTAATAACAAAGGAAAGCGAAGAGACAAAACGTAACCAACAGAGGCGAAAGGTGCGCAGTGTTTTTTCCATCGTAAGCCTAATAGGTTCGAAACCGGTCCTGAGAGTGGTTTTTTATGAACTTGTAAGCTGCTAGTTGGGCAAAGAAATAAAATGTTCAATGAACAGCAACTAAAGAAAATGTAAGGAGCGGAAGAAGCAGAAGTAAACAAAATTTGTTCGTAGAGAAAGTTCATTTACTTCATGCCATGGTCTGTTTGAGGCGTTTTCACCCAAGTGAGAAAAAAACCTGCTGTACTTCATGGCGTTTCGGTGAAACATTTAATAAGATTCCTCACAAGTCAAGGTGAAGCTTGAAATACTTACGTTTCTAAACAGTTTTTTTACCTAAAAACTATTCACGTGTTCAATTTTGTTGGGTTGAGATTTCAAAAATAGCCCAAACTCATGCCTTAAAACTCCGCTACTCCTTCGAACATATCTACAAACTTTTGGAGAAAATCTTGCAAAAGTGAAATTTAAGCAGCAAAACATTATCATCAGATAATGAATAAGGTCAGAAGGCAATGGCAGCGCTGACTAAAAACACGAAAGCGATTCTATCAAAAATATATATGGCGCCATTTCGGGTTTATCCAGATCGATTAGAAAATAACTAATACACTTTTCTCATGCCCGAAATCTACTCACTCACAAAAAGCGACCATTAATGCTCCTAAATAATTTCATTGCAATAATGGATTTTCTCTCCATTGTTCATGTTGGTAATGATGGGCTCACACGACAAGCACTTCCGGATAACGTTTTTCAGCTGCTTGTCGGCCTCTACAAATGAAGTTAAACCGAATTGTGCGGCAGCAACGCTGGACAACCGAAAGCAAATTAAACCGAGAGAAAAAAAACAACTCGGCCAGAAACAGGAGTATTATGTAATAGTGCGCGACAGGACAACCGCCATCTGGAACAGAAAACCGACTAAGAGCTTTTTGCGTAATTTTTTTAAAGGTTTTATTTAAAGCCGCGAGCTAATAAAATTGTTAAACAACCGGCAAAACTAAAGCAAATTACTCGGTTTCAATGCACACTGTTCGTGTAGGTGTTTTTCGTTTATTTTTCCTGTATGCTTTCAGGCCTTTTGCGGAAATTACTTTCAGTACGGAACAGTTATCAAAAGAGAAAAATATCCGGTGCCGAAATATCTTCTTCTATGTTGTTGTCCCCTATATTGAGGCTTTTTTATTGTTCACTTCGGATTGGATGATAAATATTTCCGCGAGCTTTTTTTTACGCCTGTTTTCGCCTGTCAGGGCTTGAATTGATTTAGAAAAATTCGGTTCATTTTCTGGAAGCTAATGGAGCTTCCCAGTCTTGTTTTTCGAAAAAAAATCAACTGTATGGAAGCAAAATGATGCTTAAACAGTTCAAGAAAAAAATCCAAACCAGTAGATGAAACTCATGCCTATTGGAAGAATCTAATTAGTTTCGATAATTATCCAAGCCAACAAATTGGTACATCGGGGGTCTTAATTAATAGACGATTAATTGCCGGTACAAGTACCGATGTGAAAACTGGACTAATAACTGCGTAAGCAACTTGGTCTGATTCAATATTTATTCGAAAACTCTTTCCGTATGAATTTGTCCGGTAATAAAATACACCCGCCTTTCGAATCATTTGAGCGACGGTGGAATTAAATTACAATGTTATCTTAAAAGGAAGTTTAATTTACTAATTGACTTAATTAACTTCACTACAAAGTTCTCGCGGAGTTCTATAAAAGCGCGACGAACTTTTCTAAAGTATTACGGGAATGTTCAACAACTGCCATTAGTTTGGTGTTCCAATCACTGGAGGAATTGCTAAATAGATGATGTTTTTTTTGAGGCGACGTATTGCCCGATAGTTGATAGAAGACAGTTGATTGATTCAAATCGACATAATTAAGAAAAATATTTTTATAGACGGATTTAGAGTTTCCAAATCTCAGTTTTTTATTTTCATTTGATGATTCATTAACAGAGTCAAGTATTGAAAAAATGTTGAGGATTTTGAGTTTCAGAAAGCGTACATTTTGCCGATTAAAAGTCAGATATTTCCAGAAAAATTGGAGCAAAAAATGACTCTTTTTACTAACTACTTTAACTTTCGGAGGACTTAGAAAAGTTACAACAGACCTAAAATATATTTCAACTTCTTCAAAAGAAGTAAATTTCTGATGAAAATGGTGAAGACTGTCTGGAAAAATAGAGCGAAAGAAAAACTTTTTTAATAATCACTTTGAAAGTCTTTGAAAAATTACAACAGAGCTAAAAACATATTTGAATTTTCCGACCCAAAAACGACACAATTACAAAAAAATGTGGCCTCAAAACGAATTTTTTTGAGGAACGAATTCACCTGAAATTTGTTTTTCCATGATACGATGTAGATGAAATTTGTTAGATCAGGTAGAGACCACCCGGTATTATGCGGAGCTTTAATTGCTCATTAATTGATTGTCTTAGAGCTTTAGAGCCTTTTTTAGAGTACAGTAAACATTCAGAATGCAGAAGCAGAATACCAGATTGGCAAAGCAAAAATATAAATTGAAAATAATAAGAAAAAACGCAATACAAAAAAATTGGGAACTTTTTTATATCAATTTGTCACGCCAAGGAATTAACGACCCTTTTCAACTTGGAATCGTTTTGCACACATTCAATTGCACAAACTCTAAACAAACACATGAATCTGTTTCATGCAAACAAACGAATATGAGAAAATACGAGAAAAAGTTAAACAGCATCAGACAAATCTAGGAGGAAAATTTGGGGATTTTTTATTTTTTTATCCATTTCTCTTGATGCCTACTTTGCTTGTAAATATAGAAGCACTAAACAGATGTATATAGTAAAATTCCCATTAAAGCCCAAAATAAACAGTGTCTAAAAAACCTGTGAAAAAAATTTTAAGAATTTTTTTAAGTCTTGCTGCAAAATTAAATTTGATTTTTAACTCAAAATCTCTTGTACAAAGAGAAGCACTAAACATTCACAAATAATAAAAAGTAATAGGAAACTAAACAGCGCATGGAGAAACTGATAAAAATTAAGGATCTTCTGCATATGTGTGTTTTCCTGCAGAATTAGATACATTTTCATAGTCAGAATCGACCGTAAATTTAAAAGCACTAAACAAGCGCGTAAATGAAAGGTTAGGAAGAAAATAAACAAGATAAAGAAGCTGTTAAAGGAATTTCACGATTTTCTATATCAATTTGCCTTACTATAGAATTAACAGCGTTTTTTAAAGTAAACAGCATCCGAAAAAACTGCGAAGCTGAGAAACTTGCATCTGCGATTTGATTAAGTTTTCTTTTATGGCTTAATTTCAGTAACTGATTTTGAAAAACCCGCACATATGTAGAAAAACATGAATTCAATACAAACGAAAGGGATGACTTCATCCTTCTCACATTCCAAATGAAGAAACTGAGAAGAAAACTTACGAGTTTTCTATATCTGTTTGTTTTCCTGCGTAATTAAATTATTTTATCGTTTGTAAATACAAAAACACCAAACAAACGCGTTCATAAAACTCCAGAATGAAAATAAACACACTAAAAGCGGTGAAGAGAACTTAAATATTCCCTGTATCTACTTGCCATGCTACAGAACTACGGACGCTTCTTCAACTCTATCAGAATTCCCTTTAAATACAGAAACACTAAAGAAACGCATCAAATTAAATACAAGAAGAAAAATAAACAGCACACGAAGAAACTGAGAACATAATCTAGAGGCTTTTCATACATTTTTGCCTAGCCAGATAAGTACCGAGACTTTTAGTATCAGAATTGTTTGTAAATACAGAACCATTGAACATACGCATGAAATAAAATACTTAGAGCAACATAAAGAACATGAGTAGAGAACTTCAAGGATTTTCTATATCTTTGGGTCTTGATACAGAATTAAACTCGCCTTTTTTTCTGAAGAGGAAAGGATAAACAAAAGCTGACCATAAAACCCTAAGAAAAAATAAACACGATACGAATAAAACTCGGATATTTCTTGTTACTCGATTTTAAATGTTAAATACTGAAGCTACCTAACAAATGCTTGTAGAAGAAAAATGAGTATGACAAAAATAAACGCGAGAGGAGACGTGAATTCTTCTTGTGTGTCTCACTTGTTTTAAATAGAGAAACAGGAAAAACCCATGTAATAAAACACTTATAAAAACGAAACAACGGACAAATAAATTTGGCAAAAAAATTGGCAATTTTGCAGTAGAGAAACATTAAACAAACGCTTGCATTAAAAAATTGAAAATAACTAAGCACGATGTAAAGCTGGTCAGACAAGAGTCCGAGGCTTTTCTTTCACTACTTGTCTCGTTATTGAATCAAACACTTCTTTAACAAAAAATTGCTTGCGACCTGATGCCGATGTGAAGAAACTGCGCGATTTCTTCACCGATTTGCTTTGCCACTGAGTTTAAGTAGCTCTTTAAAACAGTCCGAAAAAACGACTTCTTCCTGTCTCTGAGCACGTACCTTTGCTCGCACCAGTCGCCTTGTCTCGCAGCACATTGATTGAATGTACCCGTCCATACTTCTCAAACATCCTCCTCAAATCGGATTCGTCCATCGATCTGGGCACTTGACCCACGAACATTTTTATCGTGTCCGGATCAGGCTGTTCCTGCTCCTCAATTCTGGTCCGTGGGCTTTCTAGGATGTTGTTGTTGTTGCTGCTATTGTTATTGTTGTTCGTTTGCGTGGTATTGTTGTTGTTCATTGTTAGCGAACTGCAACCAAAAAAACAAACTGTAAGTGAAAAGTAAAACATTCAAATTTCCCTGTGCGAAGTGTAAAAAAAGTTAAATTAACAATGGAAAATGTCTTTGTGAGTAAGCAACAAAAACTTCCAAACACCTAATTAGAGCTTTTAAGTAGAACGATGACCACAAAAGAGAATAACTCGCTGCACAATAAAGTCGGTCTAAACAACCTTCTCGAAAAGTCCGTTATCGCACTGCATAAAAAGCGTTGAGAGCGAATGGCGAAAAAAGAGCACAAACTTTAATTAGTTGACGGTTTCAAAGTAGTTTTGAATTTTTTGCCAGATAATTTGCCTTTCGTGCAACGATATTGTAATCAACATAAAACTCTAGAGATGCTTCAGCACAATTCGCCGCTTAGTCTCAAAGGCTTTCATAATTGAATATCAGAAGCAGCCGTTTTTCGTTTAACTGAAAAAATCGTCTAGATTTTACAGAAAAATGTCCGGGTTTGGAAAACCCGTTTACATCTCAAGCGCCTCAGAGATTTATCAACTGTACAAGTGGATGAAGAACAGAAAAGAGCTCAAAGCGATGGCAAGATTATTAGTTAAAATGCACAATCCAATTCGGTTCTCTATATTATGTTATCTGGAGTTCGCCACATGGCATATATAGCTCCATATACTGTCTCTTCGTAGGAAACTGCATTAGAACGAGCGTATTCTGCAAGTCAAATTGGCTCTCCCACGTTCCTTGAACAGCTTTGTCTGGAACTATGTTAGAGAGCGCTTACGAACTAATTAAGACCATGCGTGCTAGTATAGAGTTTCGAAATCTTGCTGCACATAATCACTGAATATGCTTCATAAATTCCCGTAGAAATGAAAATAAAACCATCTTCTAGTGCCCACTATATCCAGGCACATTCTCCAGCATTCCTCCTTAGAGCAGCGATTTAAAATCCAGCAATTTCCCGGCCATTCTAAGGCTACAGGGCAAGACTCTGAGTTTCCAATTATCCCTCACTGTTTGCTTTAATAAGACACAAATAATAGAAGGATTTATCCTATGGAGAATATGCACAATCCATCAAATCTTTCCGCAAACAATCTCGAATGTCAATCGCGCCGACATCAAACATTCATGCGAATCCTGGACAATATTTGCCTTGCCAATGAGACGTCCCACAGCATCAGAGCCGATTCTTGTTTGTCCAATCTTGGACATGTTTGGAAAATTCATTTTCAATGCAAAATTGTTTTGGTGTTAAGTTCATGGAACATTTCCTTTTGCGCTGCTTGACTTTGGCTTGGCCCCATGGAATTATCGTAAACGAAAAGTTCTGCCTTCTAATCAGCCGAAATGTTATTGGAAACTTGCGTAGTTTTTTTCCGCAAAACCAATTTTGCAGAGATTGAAAAAGATTTCGCAAAAAAACCGTCAGGAAAAAATGTTTGGGATTTTATCAGTTTTTCATTTTGCTCAATCTCCATTTGGATAAGATGCAGATTTGCAGGATATACTTTTGAGGATGCATCGAGTATAAAGGAATACTTTTACTTTTTAATCAGAATCTCATAATGAAAATGTATGGAACACAGAAATTGCGAAACGTTCTCCAAGAACTGACTGAGAAACTCTCAAAAAAATGTCGTCTCTAACCTCTTAAAGATACTTTGCAGGTCCATTTGGAAAACGCGCACATTCGACTACAGACATATATTCAATGCAAGAGAAAAGTTGCCATCAATAATAAGCTATTCACATCGAAAATGCGGAAATAAAGTGGATCACAATGTCCAAAAACAGCTTTCCAAGAACCCATTGAGAAACCTTCGAAAAGTCCAAAAATTTCGCCTTTAATGTCCAATTCAAAAACATCTTTCTGCTTTCATTAAGTTTCCTTTTTTTGGCTCAATTTTTTGCAGTAGCTGCATTTGAAAAACCCGCAATTATGCACTGCAAACAACAGTGACAGCTTTTTCATCAGCATCTCACATTGCAAATATTTTCAGCCCGGAAAAAACAACTTTGAAAGAACAGATCGAGAATGTTTCCAAACAAAAACATAAAATTGCGCGTCTGACTCCAGACCAGAAACTGGAAGTGATCTGAGATTTGACCAGTTTTTCTATTTAAATTCATTTCTCCTTCCGAATCTCCATCCTGAATAATCCGCAGGTATGTAAAAAGACCCGTCTATATTTTCATAATGCAATTTTTTCTAGAAACTAAGAGTAAAATAAACGGAGCATGAAGAAACTGAGATGAGAAGACTGAACTTAAAGATTTTCTATACCTGTTTATCGCCCCAGAAAATTAAACGCTTTCATGTCAGGGTCGTTTTTAAATGCAAAAACACTAAATAAAACGCTGGCAGAAAGCAAAAGTAAAACGCTAAGAGGAAAATAAACAGCACACAAAGAAACTGGTAAATGAACTTAACAATTTTCTATATCAATCTGTCGTGCTACATAACAAGAAACATAAAGGCAGGCATTTCGTCGGTATTATCCGAGTAAGAAACCATGATGATCAGGAACGTTTTTTTTTATACAAGAATACTAAACAAACACATGAAATTAAAAGCTTCGACAAAGATAAACAGCACACGAAGAAACTGAGAAGAGAAACCCAAAAGGTTGCTATCCCGATTTGTCTTGCCACAGAATAAAATAAGTTTTCTAAAATAAAAATCGTGTGTAAACCCAAAATCACTAAACAAACGCAAAAAAAATAAAATGCAAAAAATAAATAGCACCCAAATAAACTGAGAATATAAATTAACTGTTTTAATATTCATTTGTCTTGCTACAAAAATAGGAACTATTTTGAACTCAGATTCGTTTGTAAATACAGAAGCACTAAACATACACATGAAATAAACTACTTAGAAGAAAACAAACAAGCACATGAAGAAAATGAAAAGAGAACTTAATGGATCCTCTATATATTTGGGTCTTGATACAAAATTAAACTCGTTTTCTTCCACTCAGAATCGTTGATGAACACAGAAACGAAAAACAAACAAAAGAACAACATACGAGGAAACTTGGCAAATAATTTGAGTACTTCCTACATCTATTGGTCTTGTTACTGAAGAATAAGTAAAACGTTTTCATCTGAGAACCGTTTTTACACTAGAAAAGAACCAAACACGATGTGAAGATTAAAAAATCTCGAGGATTTCTAGTTTCTCGTACTACAAATGTTCTTAGAAACGAGGCCACTTTGTTCCTTAGTTTTCATATTGCTTGCTAGCGAAACTTACCAACAAAATCAAAATCTCGCTTCTAGCCGTCCAGTAAAACTGTTTGAGATTTTATTAAGTTTCCACATTTTGCTTCATTTATCTCTCTGTCTTTTTAAGTGATTTCCTGTTCAGTTCAGGCTCGACAAACCAACATTTCCGCATTTATGCCGATTCAGCCGTGAGGGCTGGATACGGTAAAAAAGCAAAACATGAGCAATCCACGAAGAACGTATTGTAAGGGTTTTTATTAAAACTTGAGCCATATTTCACGGTCCCGACTGGCATAACTCATCTGGGCTGACTTGTAGAGTGCAAAGAGGAAATGGCTCGACGATAAGAATGTGTGAAGATTTTTGCGGCACATGGCAAATCTGCCACATATTTTATGCGACAAATCGCGGTAGTATCGTAAAATTTTCTTCACAATTTTGAATTAACAGGAACCTTAAATGCAAAAATTGAATTAATTGGGTACAATATGTTGAGAAGGAAGTTGCGTTGTAGTAGATTTGGCGATTTATTATTAAAGTAAAATGGGATTGCGCTGCCAACAATTTCGCATCAGGGCCGAAATATTCATACAAGGCACCATTCTGACACCTCCACATATCCATTCCAGCCCCCTTTATGACCCGTTAATAATCCAAAAGGTGGCAACAGTGCTATTGATTCCCCAATCGTCTCCTGCTAACAATGGCAGCAGGAGTTCCTCTAACTGTTCTCATGAGGACACACAAACACTTTATAAGACCGTGCCGCTTCATGCAAATTCCTGCGAACGAACGCGACTCTGCCTCTATCGCCTCTTTTATTCCTTCAATTTCTAGGCGTATTGTCTTTTTGAAGTCGCAAAGCTTGTTTAATCAAACTACTTTTGCCGGGAGTTGTCGGAGTAAGTTGTTGGATGAAGTTTTGCGCTTATTGTCGAACGGGGGTGAAAAAGGATTCAGGTGGAAATGGCGTCTTTTGCCTGCACCAATTGCCCATTCGTTTAACTGAATTTCGAAAGGCTGACGTCTGATTTTGCTGCAGGATTTATCTACCCCTCTGTGTATGTGTGGGTTCAATTCGATGGCAGCTTACACAATTCGAGCAGTTCAGATTGATGCTGGAGCAGAGTTTTCTAATTTTATCCAGCCAATAATCGTTCAGAAACTTTGTCTGCTTTATCTGTAAGTCTTAAATATTGCTTGGGCAATGAGACTTGCTCTCTTGCTCAGTTTCTCTGTTAAGGGTTTATCAGTATCACACTTCAAAGATTCTGAGCCTTAAAGAATTGCAGGTGATTAGGCTCGTAGTATGCTTTAGTGCAAAGGAGCTTTTTTATCCATGAAACAGTTTTCCCGGCAGCAAAAGGCGACGAATTTTCCAACATTGAAAGTTTTCAATTAAAGTTCTTCTGGAAAGAAAAACCTTTGGGCTTGGGCCAATTTACTGGTGTAAGCAAACTGAAATATTCTGATGAAAAAAATCGAAGCAAACCGTACAAAATGGGCTGAGGAAAAATTCATATTTTTACGCGACCGAACAAAAGGCCCAGGTGTTGAATCAACTTTTTACCATTATGGAGGCTCTTTGTTGTGCAGGCAATAGTTAAGGTGCACAAAAGCAAATTGTAGTTTTGTCCAATGACAAAGAAAATTCCCCCATTGTTGCCGGAGTTTAATACAAGTAATTGCGTTTAAGTATATATATGTGTTTATGTTTACTTCTCCTGGGAAATATTATTGGCACTGAAAAAAGAATGCAATATTTCAAAGCCATTACGTAT